ATATATATATATATATACTGTGTATCCTCTGAAAAACTAGGCACACTTCATGTTTCAAAGCTTGAAGAACAACCCTTAGCACTATAACATGTAGTAATCTTCTCTTTTCAGCTGCACTGCTGTAGATTTGCTAATGAGCTTGTACTGCTGCATAACATAACCCAACTTCTAAACTAAATAAAATGCTTTGGTAAAAAGAGGAGATCATGCTTGATCTAATGACTGCAAGGTGCTCAGGTCCTGTGGTTAAAAAACAAGCCCAAATCATAACCCCTCCACCACCATGCTTGACAGTTGTTAGGAGGTATTTCTGCTGATATAATCAGTTTAGTTTTTCCAAAGTCTTGTGGTTTGCTCAGATGTAAGAAAAGCAAACGTTATACCTCCCGCCCAGTTCTTTTTAGTAAAGAGGCTTTCTCGTGACATGCTATTTTAGTTCAGTCTTCTTCTAGTTGTATCTTCATGAATTGTAACATGCTAAGTGAGGCCTGAAGAGTTACAGATGTTTAGTTTTTGTGCGATCTCTCTCACTTTGCTGTGAATTTACTGGAAAACAGTGGCATTTTAAAACAAAGCTGATTGCTGACCAAATCGCCAGAACTACTGCTTTTACAGAGGTGGTCACACTTACTGATGGTCAGTTAGTCAAGTGCATTTGACTAGCAGCAATCTGGCTGCTACTTCCGCTCTTAATTCCTGAGTAAACAGTAAGGGTGTCCTTTATATATATACATCATATATATGTGTGTGTGTGTGAGAGAGTGTTTGTCATCATAAAGTTTGACATATCACAGTTTTACTACTTGTGTTGATGCAATGTACTGTAAATGCTAAATTACCGGTATTTATTTGCTTACCTACCCCAGAGTTGATGTGCGATGGCAATATTTTAGAGGTAAAAGAGTGGCAATAAAATACTAAACTCATTTACATTTGTACATTAAAATAAAAAAGTGGGTTCACGGATCAACCGTCACTTTACAGTTGTAGACACCCCCCCCCTCCCCCCTTAATATCCTCATCATGCAAATATGCAGCATAAGTCTAACATTAGCCAGGCAGTGGCTGATGCAGCCTATTAAATGTGGAAAGCAGAAGTTAATATTGATAACCACAAACTAATTTCTTGCAAATGACAGCTTCCATATCTTTACACAGGTCATGTGACAAATGAAAAAAAAAAAAAAGATTTGAATTTTTATAATAGTATGCATGGAGCTGAATTCAAATTTTAATACATAAACATACATTCAGAATATGGTCGTACAGTACAGTTGCAATTGATACTGCAGAGTCACAATGGGCTGTGTTCAGAGCTGATTTAAGTAGGCCGTTAAAGTTAAAAAGTTAAAGGTCAAAGGATAGGTGGGGGGAGCTGTTTTCAGGGGCAAATTTACATACACGTAGGCACATTCGAGCACAGCCATCTCATTTAAAGCAAACATTTGCCTTAGACTGGATTCTTTTTTTTTTCACATTAAAAAAACAAAACATTTAATGTATTACATTAGCACTTATATTTATTATTTTAAAAAATGATCACCTTTTCATTGAGCCTGTACTTCCCACCTAAAGCAAGGTCATGGCATGGGTAACAATAGCTGTTTTTTTTCTTTAATGCAAAATCTCTGATGCATTCGTGATCCACAGCATCAGTTTAATGACAAAAGCCCTTTCACACCCTGTGCACTCATCTCCAATCAAAAAATAGTGCAGAAAATTACTGCCTACATTTTGAATCAAATGACACTGAATATAAGAAGGTCAGCTGGTCTTCATGTCAAGTATTCAAATGTAAGTACAATATACTGTTAACACTATAAACAGTGCGCTTAATTCTACTGGGTGATGATTACACTACCCTGAAAACACCAAAATGTAATTTAAAATGTTGTTGTGAAAAAAGTACAGCAAATTGTCAGGCCGTGGTGATAGACGTGGTGATTGATGACTCTCATTAGAACGGATATTGTAGTGTTTTAGAACTAACGCCTAATTACAGCCATACTATTCAGTTCTGAATACAGCCATACGTCTCTACATGTGACACTTTGGACAACTAAAGGTACTGACGTCTTAATGATTCAGTATTAATTGCAACCTGTGAGCCATAAATGATAACTTTGATTGTACTTCTTGAGCAATTAGTAAATATATCTTCCAAAACACATTAGTACAGCAGCTTTGATTCATCTATTAATAGCAGGAAAATGGCACCATAACTTTGTTTCATAGGCTACATATGACCGAAACAGTCATTTTAAGATTCACCTAAAGTGACACAGAATTTATAAAAAAAGAAAGAAAGAAAGAAAATGAAATTCACTACAGATATCTAAGTTTAAACTTAGGTCTAGACTAAATAATAAGAGGTAGCTGTTAATCATTAACCTTAAACTTTATTTAAGAAAAATAGCCACTGAAATAAGCATTTTGTTGACTTGTCTGAGATCCAAACACGTTAATCTTTTCAGTCCGCAAAATGCTGCTGACTAGACTGACCTAGCAAACAGCCCCTCATATTTTTGTAGCTTGATGTGAGCGCACAACAGCTTTTCATCTGTTTAAAGTATGTCTTTTGACTGGTTTTGTCTCCTGTCTGACTATTATTGTGCTGCCATCACACAAGCACATATTCATTGGAAGGAATGCAGTGAATTTCCTGTTAGCTCTTGTGGGGATATGGTTTGTTTTTCCTGTTGCTGCAAGCCAATTTATTTTTTTTCTTTTGCCCTCTTTAACTTCCTGTCTTAGAGCTTGACTTTACAGAGAAGTAGCAGAGGTGAACGTCAGAAGCCATTGATTAAACTTTGGTTACCATCGCTTAGCCCTCCCCACCGCCAATTACAAGCTCCCAGATCACATCCGTTTCAGAGGTGTTATGCCAAAGATATGTGTTGTGCTTTTTAAAGGAGAATCTAAAGAAGTAGGAATGTAACAAATGCTTTTCAGGCACCGATTTAAAAAAAAAAGAAGAAGCACAAAACCCGTATAGGTAAATTTGAAGGAGGATGGTGGCCCTGCTGGGTGAAAATACCACATTCTCAAGCCATGCTGCTGGTAGGTGTGCTCTGGGTGCTTCCAATGCTAGCATTGGCACTGCTGTTCTCAGAGGGGGATGGGTTGGTAGAAACAGGTTGTCGCTTTGCTCCTGAGCAAGGACATCCTGTGGAAAGGAAAAACAAGCCAATAAGAACCTGCTAAAAATAAAAAAGAATTATTAAAAAATAAGAGTCCTTACCAGGAATATTGACTACAGTTGAATTCATCTCCAGTCCAGTTGGGTACCCTGAATTAAGGAGAATTGGACAATTTCAAATTCAGACATACGTCAATTCAGATTTATTCTGGAGTCCAAACATTCTGTCCCCACTCATCAATTTACCTGTTTTGATTTTGATAAACCACAGCGCTCCAACAAGTAATACCCCAATCAGGAACCCTCCAAAGGCAATACCCAGAACTCCAGACAGGCCGTTAATGCATGGTCGGGCTGAAAAGCAGACATGCAAAAACAATGTATGCAAGCTTAAATTTAAAAAAAAAAGAAAGAAAAAGATTTACTACAACTGCTACAACTACAATTACGTTCAATCGAACACGATTTAAAAAATCTTTGGAAACCCAAAATCCTCCTTTTATATTGTAATGCAGCTTGAATACAATATATAATATAATAATAAAATATAATAATTTCTCCAAAGAACCACTGAAAAGTCCTATTTGTTGTGCTCCTACAAGCTATGGTGTGTCCTTTTAATAACATTGCATCTTCACATTGTAAAGGTTTGGTAGCACACAGACAGAATTGTTTCCTCTATACCAAATAAAATCAGTCATGCAATAGGTTCATTATATAATGCACACAAGTAGAATATGTAGATTAGATTATCTCTATTACAACACAAACACAGATTCTATCTATTCACTCTAACCAAAACCAAAATCACATAGCCACATAGCAAGTGTTTTCTTTTCAGGAAGACCAATGTACTTGGTATTTTTTATGTAACTGAACTTAAGTCTGCACACAGAGATTTTTTGACCACTTTAACTGATTTTCCATCTGAAAATATGTTCTTAATTTGGGTTTGTCCTAAATCTGCACTGTGAATCACGATGACTACAATGTAATCTTCTTAGTTCAATAAAGAATTCACCCCAACTAACCCATGTGTGTCCTTAGAGAGCATCTCTATTATATGTTCTAGTGAGCTGCTGTTCGTACATTTATGTGTGATGCTTAAAAGTTACTATTCCATATCCTCTGTAATAGAAAAAAACTAGTTAAAGTTTATGAACTCCCTGAAATGAGAGGCTAGTTCTGCAAAGTACACAGTTATAATTTACATCTCTATGAAACCACCAAATTTCAAACCCATAATCTGACAGACATTCAATACACTGGACATTTTTCCATGACTTGCCAATAGTTCATGCCTCAACATAAAGTACTATATTAACAATAATAATCGTGCCATCTATATCCAAAACAGCCTCTGTGTTTCAAAATTAAGTGCTACTTAACCTTAATGCACGCCAGAGTCGCTCCACATTGGACTTAATGATAATTGCCATAATTCTTTCCATCCACTCCTGAAGCTGGCAGACTATCTATGCATCTACTAAAACACCTTCTGGAAATCAATAGAGCTTACATACAGTGCTGTTTATCACCTCCCAAAACTACAGCCAATGTTTTGGGTGAGTCAGAATTTTTTTTAAAGAAAATTGAATTTGTCCTGTTCCAATGTAGCCATACGAACTTTGATTAATAACCAACTTTGCAATTTCTAAAGTTTTCTGAGCATGCCATGAGCTGGCTTCCACCGCACAAGAGACTTTTTGGCTAACAAAATATATTAGATAACCTATAACCTTGAACCAGTAGTTATAAAAATAAAATACTTTCCCTCAAAGCAGCTCTGAATGAATATGTACCGGGCACATCAGACGTCCAGCATACTTGGAAAATGAAAATCTTTCTGTACACTACCACAATGGATTTTTAAACTTAAAAAAAAATCAATTAAATTTAAATGTGATTGAAGAGAAGATTTTCTGCTTTAATTCAAAGGGGTTTAACAAAAGTATTGCATTGACTGTGTGAATCCATCCATTCTCTTATGCTTATCAGGGTTGCACAAGCCTATCCCTGCAACCAGAAGGCGAAAGGCACACAGAAAGACCCCAGCCAGATGGTGAAGTCCAGCTCGGGACATTCTTGTGGTGAGGCAAAAAGTGCTAACCTCGTATTAAAGCCATTCTGTACATTTTTGCTCACTCTCTGGTCTCACCTGGCCTGCTTGTCAGTTAATTGTCCAATGAATTAAAAATGAATGAATTACAATACAGACGGTTTACAATAAGGTGCAAACTACTGGTTGCACTCAAGGTTAGACTTTGCCAGAAAACATCAAAAAGACCCTGCAGAGTTCTGGGGGGGGGATTCGTTGGACAGATGAAGCTAAGATTAACTTGTACAAAACTGATGGGAAGAGAAATTTATGGAGAAGGCGAGAGAGAGCTCATGATCTGAACCGCATCATCTGTCAAAAACTGTGGAGGCCGTGCTATTGCATCTACAGCCGTCAGTGGAACTGGGTCTGCTGATAGCAGTTCTAAATTCTGAATTGTGTCGTGCTGTACTCAGATTCACTCAAGCCCCGCAAAACTGATCAGATGGCACTTCACAGTGCAAATGGATGATGACCTAAAACACAAAGTGAAAGCAAGAGTTTCTCCGAGCAAAGAAACGGAATATTCTTCAACCCAGCAGAGCGTGGTCTTTAGTTATTAAATACCAAACTGAAGGCAGACCGACAAACACGGAGCAACTGAAGGTGGCTGCAGTAAAGCCTAATGGATCATCTCAAGGGTGGAAATATCTTGAGTGTTTGATTTAAAATCCACTGTGGTAGTTTATAGAGGCAAAATGACAAAAAATATCATTTCCCACAAATCAACCAGACTGTACATATTGTAACAGCCTAGCAATTTTTTTCTCTAGTTTTAGTGGGCTGGCAAAGCTAGAAATTAACAACCTTGAGAAAGACATCTTTTCAAAAAGGCTGCACAGCAGATCACTGACAGTTCTTCCCTTCTCTCAAACATCACAGTAAACTCTAACCCTCATTTGAAGATGGGAAAATAAACAGATGTTCTTAAATGTATTAAAATTTCCAATGACAAACAATGTTAAAAACTTATTGCTTAGATCTAAACTTTGATTTGTTCAGTATCCATCTGACTGGCCTGAATTAACTATCAAATTGTTTACAGAATTTGCACCAAAATCAATATCTGGGAATGTAGTGAAGCTTTTCAAGGCTGCAAATAAACAACCTTGTCCCAAACCATGTGAGCTGTTAGAAGTCCCCACAAGAGCAGAGGCAGTATGTTATGTGTTATCTATCAAGAAAACCACTGCGTAAATACCGGCTTTCCCTCCTTCCCCTCTACTGCTGCCTGTAGAGATTTTCCCACAAGTATCCAGAGCAGTAGGAAGAAACTAATCATCACCTTTCCATGAGTTTCTCACCTGCCTTCTGCTGCCTTCTGCCTCTGGGTTGAACATGCTAAGCACTAATGCACAAAACATAAAACCTCATCAGAACATAACCAGAAAGCAGGAGCTTGCTTTGCAAAAACGTAATCCTACTTAACACAGTATGGTCATTTGACTAATATCTGTGTGAAGCTGAATCGTGTCTGCATAAAGTCGTCATAAGGCCAAGACACATTTAACTCTAAATTAATGCAGAAATTCTCAGTGGGTGTGTGTGTGTTTATGTGTGTCATTTCACATATAATGTGAACCAGAGCACTGACACAGTGACATCTTGTGGGCATTTGGGCTGACTGCATTCCAGGCAGTCAGCCCAGTTTGTTGATTTCACAGCGAAGGACATTCCTAAATGAGTGAAAAACATCACAGCAACCTAAGTAGGTTTTCCCTGGAGACGTTTTTTTCTATTATCAATTGGTGTGCTAGTTTGTATAAGTGAGACTTTGACAGCGAAGCTGAATAAACAAGAGGAGGAAGCAGAAGCTTCAGTGCAGGTGGAGAGGAGGAGAGAGACAGCATGCCTGCGCTCAGACTCCCTGTAGCCCTCTGTATGAAAACTACCAAACAGGAAAGATTGCTGAATGGAGTTCATAGTCCTGCCCAGTGAAGGCTTGCAGCAGACTGCAGTCTGCTAGTGCAGCTAGTATACAATAACCCTCGTATGTCTGACACTGGCTAATGAAGTGAACAGACGTACCAAACAAGTGTGTTACTTTAAAGTTAGATCTCTCAATTTACCCTGGTCTCCAAAAAAAATACACATTTCTTTAAACCATATAAGTCAAAGAAATGCAGAGAGAATCAAGGAAGGACACAGGGAAGCATGGATGAGTAGCTTCCCCTGCAATACTGACATAAAAACCTTTATCTTTCTTCTCTAAAAGGACAGGAAGCATAAAGGCAGCTTAAGGCATGAACAAACAAATTACAAGTTTTACAAAGACACTTCATGTGTCCTTCCATTTAATCAGCTTCTGCTTCCTTGTGTCTTCTTGTTTAGAAATTGATTCATCTGAAATTTCCTAGAAATTAATCATAACGTGTGGCGACGGTACTTTCTTTCAAGAAAGACATCTTTTCTTGTTTGAGTCAACTGTGTTGATTGGTCTGACAATAGCACAAAGCTCAGTGCCTATGTTAGGACAGCAGCGCAGTCAAACCCCTTGGAAACACAAAGGACTTCACCCCCCTCCCCCGAGGGTCATTATTTTTGATTGTGGCCACAAGGTCAGTCTGCAGACCTTCCTAAAGGACGAGGGCCTGCCCCACAACCCCTTACGTGCCTCACTGCATATCCACTGTTATGACAACAGCCTGTGCAGCATTTGTTTTGCACTGAAAGCAATAATAGGAATGAAAATTATTGCAGCAAGCAACAACACTCTGACCAAGCACCAGACTAGCAATTAAGTCCTGAAGGCATAAAAGGTAATTTAAAAGTTTTGGTATTTCTGCTTAGAGTTTGGAGAGTTTAATCTTAGAAAGTTAAATATAAAACATTCATCTGTCAAAAATTAATTTTAAACTCAAGGGGACATTGGGACTTTTTTTTTGCAACTTTATTTTTTATTAATTTAATGAAATAAAAAAAATAATAATTCATCCACATGTTGGAGTTTAAACTGAACTCACTTGGGGTTTCTGGGCATGGTTGGGTAAATTCCAAATTCCTGCTGGCTTTTCCTCCATATGCACATTGCTAGGGAAGAAGCAGAAACACAGCTCACCCAAAAGTGTCCATAGGTTTGTCATACAGGCAGATTTTCTGAATTCAGAGCGACTGAGTTAAACACATTACAACTGTAAAGTGTTGTGTTGATGTGAAACATTAAAAGTGGTTGATAAATCCTTACCTCAGTATAACAAAAGCTGACATCACATTCCATGTCCCATGTGGTGGATGAAAGCTCCTGAAGCTGCTCTATGGAGAAGGCGAATCGAGCTCTGTTAGGACAAGAATTTGAGGGGCAATCCACTGGAAAGAAGGGCAAGTTTTTCTCTGCAAGGCACGAGCCTTTGGATCGCAAAATACATTTGGTCACCTTCCAAGTCAAGACTAGACTCCCTAAAGTGTTTCCAGAAATCTGCAGAGAACAGAAAAGAATTCAAAACAAAGATGATAAGTTCATTGTGCATTAGAGGATGAAGGACAATCTGATATGTTAAACAGTAAGCCTTTTTGTTGCATTGTAAAATATTTATATTTAGATAGAAAAAAATCCTATTTAATTCAGTTTGCGGACTGCAGTTAACTAAAAGCAGTAACTGTGTGGTGGGTGTCATCCCTGTAATAATTAAAAAAAGACCACAAAGACAAAAACATTGCCTATCACTTATTTAAGCAGTGAATAAATGTTACCTCTGCAAAAATTCTCTTGTCGGTCTGGATTTTGGTGTTAAAGTCTATGGGCGTCTGATAGTCTGCAGAGGTGTACAGCATTATCACCATGGGGATTTGAGTGGGGGAATTTGTCGCAACAGGATTGCCTGGTGCCGGAACGCTTGGTGCAACTGAGCGAGAAATTAAATTAAAATAGGTCAACAAATTTTTTTTGCATGAAACAACTGTATCACTGTTGATGTTCTTGGATTCTTTCTGAAAAACAAGAGTAGCTCTGTTACTGAGAACTTAAATG